TATCAGTGAGTGATTTCGTTCCCACAGAGATTCAAACCAAGGGTCAGTCGCTTCAAATGCTAGAGCGGCGTTATCCACAAAGCTTTAGAGTCACGATAGTAATTCCTTGTGTAACGGGGATAGTTTTTATGAGTCAATCGGATTTGGTGCTCAAATTCGCTTGTATATTTATAGACCATGCCATTTAGTGTAGAATTGTACGAATACAACTGAAAAGTCTGACTCTCTTATTCCAATTTACTCAACACAAATGTCAAAAAATGCATCTGAAATGGTAATATCCCCGCACTATGCGATTTCGAAGTAGGAAGATACTTGCGTCTGAAGAAACTATACAAGAGGTTTCGAACAACCAGCTTTAATACAATTTTCTATAGAATAGTAAGATTATTTCCGTTTTTCCAACTTTCCACCTACTTGGTGGTACTCGAACAGGTGAACCAGAATTTTGGAATCAAAATTTGTCTTTAATATACCCCCCACCTCAACCGATAGCTGTTTCTTGATATATCACAATCAACCAACGAGGTGTATTAGTAACAGCATAGCATACTTGTTTGTTTTTGTAACATATCACAAAGGTCTTTTGGATAGAGAAGAAGTAATTACTGTCATAGAGTAGATGGCTTACGATATGATGGGCTTCCAAGGGAGAAGTTTTACTGCTGCCTGGATTGAGGATTTGATAGCAGTGAGCTGTTCCCCGTGGATAGACATTAGTCTATATCGATCACTGCCTTCCTTTTGACGGTAAAAGTAGAACACTCTTCCTGGCTTTGTGATCTTTCAATGCTACCTTATTATTATATTATTTACACCTATCCCTTGGGTTCCTAGTCGAACATAGGGCTTCACTAGCACGCCTCCAATGCACTCTCTTCTCTGAAATCTTTTCAACCTGGCTCCACCACTGCCCACAACCTCTCATTTCTTCCTTGCACAATCTACTCCATGTCATCCTCACCTCAGACACCCAACTCGTCGTTTCCCATCTGGCTTCCACTCGACTGCCTCACCTGGTGCATGATGTCCCCAGTCCCCCTTCTCAGTGTATGCCCAATACAATCCATCTCCACTTCCTTCCACTGCATATTTGTTGAGTGATAGCTTCTTGCTTCATTGGTTCCTTTCCAGTCCACAGTTCCTCCTTGCTTATTCTTTCTCCTCTTCTCATCTGATCTTCAGTAACGAGTCAACGTAGGAGGCAGTTATTGATCAATGTGTGTTGTTTGTTGGGAATGCCTTTCGTAACGCACCAAGTTTCTGAACCATATAGGAACAGTGACTTGACTGATATTGGTGTTGAAAATCCGGATGTTGTTCACGCTTTATTCTGAGTGGAGTGCAGAAGATCTCCACACTGATTTCAGGTTAATGAACGCCTCTCTTGCTTTTCCGATTCTGGCTTTACCTTGCTAGGTTCAAACATGGTGCGGACATTCCATGTCCCTGTGTTTACTTTCGCTTTCATCGAGGGAGAGAAGACACATCGGCCAACTGGCTTCCCGAAAGCTTTCACCAACCGGCGTCATTTTACCTCTCCGATTCCAGCGAAGAATAATTTTTTTATTTTGTTTGTGCTTTGAAGTTTCTTTAGCGGTTGGATTGGTTTTACGGGGTAGGGTTGCTAGCCCTACGCCCAACCTTCCCTCTTTACCCGAGCTTAGGACCGGCTAGTAACTAGTGGACTAGTTAACCAGGCGAGGTTAGCCGTGGTTTGATAGAGTAATATTCATACTGGATGATGATTGCAGGTGAAATAGAAATTTGGACCGCGGCCGGATTCCAACCAGAAGTAGTATCGCATCACAAATTCACATGGTAGTCGGGTGAAACCCTTAGTGATTGAAATGAAATAAAAATTTGGTCAGCAATCGGACTTCGTAGTTCAGTTGATAGAGTATCGAGCTGGAAACCCAGTGATCGCTGGTTCGAATCCGGCCGCGACCCAAAGTGTCACTTCACCTTCAATCATCACCCAGTATAAATACTAGTCTGCCGAACTACGGCTATCTCAGATAGTTAAATGGTAAAAAATTAATTGGCCAATTAAGATTTTTTCATTTTAGCAGAAGAGGTAGATTTACATAAAATAAAAAAGTCTAACTGTTTACTTTATTTGTTGTCAGGGCGGAGGCTGTAGTCACTCGGATACTGACCACTTTCTTAAACCTCAAGAAGACTTTGAAGACTACCGTAGCAACAACTGAACGAACCAATTAGATTTTTGTACTTTATGAAAACCTGCCTTTCCAAACGAAATGAAGAAACCTAATTGGTTAATTCGATCATTGCTAGGGTAGCCTTTAAAGTCACCCTTTCTCTAATTGTATCTTACTCAGTCTGTTTCAATTCAAATGAATTGGTAAGCCTAGATTTTCAGTGATCCTCGTATGACATCAAGCCATCAAGTCGATCACGTCTAGAAGGTCCATATGAGATCATCAGAATACATATGGAATGACATCAGTTGGAAGGACATTGGGAACCTGGGGGACTAGACAGCTGTTTTATATCAGTGCGGGACTCCTCAGCAGATCACAACCACGACCCCCCCCATGGATCGAACCCAGGCCGTTCAGTTTCCTCGGCACCACGTTGCTGTTAAGCCACTGTGTTGGGTGCCTATTTCCTACTTGTCACTTCACGATATAGCCCCAACTATTCGAGATCCTAAGATTTATAGTTAGCATACGCTTTACTGCAGCTTGAGAATCGAAAACTCAAGAAACCCAGGCAGACGATGAAAATTTCACGATTAAACAACCCAGCTCAGAAAACACAATACAACCAAGACCATCCACCTGAGCTACAAATATTCTCCATTATTTCAAAATCATACGAGCGTGACAAGCTTCACGTTGTTCGAAGATGGGAAGACTTCTCCAAAAGGCAAGCTTCAACAAAAGAACAACTATTCTTTCTCCATGAGTGCCTACGTCAGCATATTCTGCCGAAAAGTTCAGATATAGACCACCGATTAACTGTCCAGTGGGATAGAAAATAGCTGAACAAAGTGGAAGATAAATGGCACAATTGATGATCACAGATGCACACCATCGGATCCGGAAACACTAATCCAACTTCATCTGTCAATGACATGAAGAGGTAGGCGGTGGCTTCACATTCTCTTCTAAGTCGACAAAAGTCCACAACCTCATCCATCAACTTGCCTATCTTGAGAAGTACCCTTCGCCTGACTGACCTCAACACTGCTCACATGGTGATTTCAACAATCGCGAGAAATTCTACGAAGACACTTCTGATCAAATCCTATAACTGTTTCATGTCTTCTATTTTTAAGGGCCATTTCTCACAGCAGTATAACGGGACAGAACGAACTGCAATGCAGTATACTCGTCTCTGACAAATAGTCCAGTATTTCGCCAGCTGACGACATAGATGAAGCAAGTTGGGAAATGCTAAACGGGCTTTTTGTATCCGACCTGAGATTTCATCAGCGACCATCCGGTCTGGGCGGATGAAACTCCCGAAGTAAGGGAAGTGGTCGATATATTCCACTACTTCACTCCCTATCATTAAACTGGGAGCAATTGTAGACCAGTTCATTTGACATGTGCGTAAAGAACGCTAGTCAAACATACTCAGATTTCTGTTCAATGTATCCATAAGACCCTGCATTTTCCCAGCGTCTTTACCTAGCAAGGCAACGTCTTCTGTATACTCCGAATCAACTAGATGACCTCCAGGGAGTAAATTAATCTGTGTGAAGACAGACATACCTGAGATTATGTCCATAGTATGTCTATGACGAAGGTAAATAGGAACGGTGACACTGAGCATTCCTAGCAGACATCACCAGTTGTCGTCAATTCCGAAGACAACCCTGCATAAGCCTTTACACGGCTGTATGATTTCGAGTAGAGAGCTATGGTTAATGTTGTATACTTGCTCGGTGCCCCTTTCACAGTCAGACACTGTGAAAACACCTCACGGTGGACAGAGTCGAATTCCGCCGGAAAGAAATAGCCCATATCCCTGGCACCGGAAGTTCCTGGGGCATTTTTGGGGCTGACCTTTTCTAACCCTCCCTTTCCCGTTCGGAATGCACCAGTGTGACACTTTTGCTTATCCAAGAAAATCACCCCAGTCAACCAGGAGTAAGATTACGCCCACAGACCCCCCACCATAGTGTAATAATTTATACTACAGAGGTAACTGCTTTCTGTCTTACCACTACCCAACAGACTTTTCTGGTATGGTAGGACCTACAGAGAACAAGCGTTCCAACCAGTGTAACTCGTTGGATCACTTTGATATCCAGGCCCGACCACCACATCAAAGTAGCAGCTATCGGTTGAGAGAAAACTCAAATTTCCTGCGTTCATCAAACAAGCGGCTAACTATCAAATCACTGGTCATGGAATCAAAGTTATTAGATGCATTCAGTAGAGTTTGGTCAGTAACAAGAACTGAACATGTCATCAGTCGCTATTTATTAAAAAAGTAGTATACACTATAGTTCCAAAAATTTCACCAATCATTTCTCTCTTCACCGCTGAACAGTCAGGAGCAGATACTTATTTCCGGGATGGTCGATATCCACGAGGTTTGAGACTTTCCTACCTGCGTAAAGAATGTCGGCAAGTGAAAAACTTATACCCAATCACCTTCAGTCATCTAGAAGTACGAAATTAACACAGCTTCAAAATCCCCTCAGCCATCTTGTGCACATTCGGGCAGTAGGCAGCATTGAGTCACATCTAGTGAGCGAAAGCCACTTACACTGCTTGGGTGTACAAACCAGTGTATGAAGCGTAGCTCAACCCCTTGACCTACCGGTTGGTAGGTATCTTCTGAAGCCTCAACTCCACACAAACTATGCTAGGCACAAGCAGATGGACTAACCAATCAGATTTCAGCATTCCGGCTGGGACGTTAATTTCCCATACCATACAGGAAAGCAATTGGTCACTAAAACAGTTTTTACAGCGGCCATTTTTATGTGAAAAAAATAACAAAACGAAGAACACTACTCTCAGTGTGAATAGTTTTTTTTTGTAGCATATACGTGTATTTGCTCCAAGTTATCCGGAGGAACAAGGTTCTAAACATAAGGAATCTAGGAGAGGGATTAAAAACAAAACGAAGACAATATATATATATGTATGTATCATAACTGGTATTACCATCTCGGGAACTTGTGTCATCTCAGATTTTCATCCTACATACAACACACACACACACAAAGATTATGCACTGACCAGTTTGGTTTTGTTCTGTTTTCTCTTGGTTGAATAAAACAATAAAAATCAGAAATGTTAAGACCATAACAACTAAATAATAACATCATATCATAATCCATGACCGTAATCACTTGGATAAGCGTAAGAAATAGTAAGGAGAATAACAATATTGAATGTGAATTCAATATCAATAAAGCAGTATGATTAATCAGGGTAGGAAATAATTGGAAGTTAGGCAGTTTTAGTCAATAAAACACCAATTAATTTCCAGTAAGTTCTGCAAATGTAGAATCCAATTCTTCACTGAGTGCCTTGTATTTCTCCTTCTCAGTAACCAATTCATCTGTGAAAGAATGACAAAAACGGGGAAGAATATTATCTTTTACTGTATTATGTTCTGATTAGTCTTGAATAAATTGTATGAGGAGTAATCAAGTAAGATAGGAACTTACAGTAGGTGAAGTAGTTCATTGGTTTTTAGGGGGAGTGACTTCTGACCAATGGGTCGTGAGCTCGAACCCCGTTCCGCGGGTTAGGGTAGCTAAGTTGTATGATTGGCTCTTACATGTTGAGTGTGGATCATTGACTACTACATGAATATGCACGAGGTTGCTAAGTGCACTTCGAGTTCTTCTTTCGACGTTACAGAACTGCATCCTGTCTTATGTGACATATTTATATTGCTGAATATAACGGACAGTGAGAAGTCAACGTCATAAGACAACTAGTAGTCGCTAATCTGTTGTTTGGCACTTTAGATTTCTCAGAGAACAGAGTTCGAACCCTGTTCACCTTCTCATCTTTTGGATAAGTATGCATCATTGCATAGTGCACGAAACTAACCATATTTAGCTATTGAGTAGCATGTCCACAAACAAACGTATAAGGATATCTCCCATGTCAGTAATTAACGTGTTGAATAATTAGACAAATAAAATAATAGGCACGAACTTCCAATGTTTACCACAAGGTAAAGTAATCACAGCGTGTTTATAAGACACTTTTTTAAATCGCTCACTATGCAAGCAACACCTTCTTCAACATAGTTACCCATTACGTTATTGCTTGTAATTGCCCATTGCAGTTTCGATTGAATCAATTGACCCTTATTGTTATATGAACTCCTCCAAGGATGACCTTGATATCTACAGTAACTCTATGTTGATAGTAATGATGATTAGTGGCAAGTAGTGGAATTCAGGGCACGCGTTTCGTCCTGTTTATCGCTCATCAGTCTGCCTATCAGTGAGTGATTTCGTTCCCACAGAGATTCAAACCAAGGGTCAGTCGCTTCAAATGCTAGAGCGGCGTTATCCACAAAGCTTTAGAGTCACGATAGTAATTCCTTGTGTAACGGGGATAGTTTTTATGAGTCAATCGGATTTGGTGCTCAAATTCGCTTGTATATTTATAGACCATGCCATTTAGTGTAGAATTGTACGAATACAACTGAAAAGTCTGACTCTCTTATTCCAATTTACTCAACACAAATGTCAAAAAATGCATCTGAAATGGTAATATCCCCGCACTATGCGATTTCGAAGTAGGAAGATACTTGCGTCTGAAGAAACTATACAAGAGGTTTCGAACAACCAGCTTTAATACAATTTTCTATAGAATAGTAAGATTATTTCCGTTTTTCCAACTTTCCACCTACTTGGTGGTACTCGAACAGGTGAACCAGAATTTTGGAATCAAAATTTGTCTTTAATATACCCCCCACCTCAACCGATAGCTGTTTCTTGATATATCACAATCAACCAACGAGGTGTATTAGTAACAGCATAGCATACTTGTTTGTTTTTGTAACATATCACAAAGGTCTTTTGGATAGAGAAGAAGTAATTACTGTCATAGAGTAGATGGCTTACGATATGATGGGCTTCCAAGGGAGAAGTTTTACTGCTGCCTGGATTGAGGATTTGATAGCAGTGAGCTGTTCCCCGTGGATAGACATTAGTCTATATCGATCACTGCCTTCCTTTTGACGGTAAAAGTAGAACACTCTTCCTGGCTTTGTGATCTTTCAATGCTACCTTATTATTATATTATTTACACCTATCCCTTGGGTTCCTAGTCGAACATAGGGCTTCACTAGCACGCCTCCAATGCACTCTCTTCTCTGAAATCTTTTCAACCTGGCTCCACTACTGCCCACAACCTCTCATTTCTTCCTTGCACAATCTACTCCATGTCATCCTCACCTCAGACACCCAACTCGTCGTTTCCCATCTGGCTTCCACTCGACTGCCTCACCTGGTGCATGATGTCCCCAGTCCCCCTTCTCAGTGTATGCCCAACACAATCCATCTCCACTTCCTTCCTCTGCATATTTGTTGAGTGATAGCTTCTTGCTTGGTTCTTTTCCAGTCCACAGTTCCTCCTTGCTTATTCTTTCTCCTCTTCTCATCTGATCTTCAGTAACGAGTCAACGTAGGAGGCAGTTGTTGATGAATGTCTGAATGCTACCTTAGCTGGATTCATTGAATACAATGACAGTAGTTACAATTCAAACTTCCAAAAAGACCATCGATCTCAGGAGCTTCAAGAAGTGCACCTTCCACCATATGGGCAACCAGAAGGATTCCTAAAGTAAACACTAGTAGCTCCCATGTTGATTATTAACTATGTATTTTATGGTTACGCAAACATGGTGTTCAATTTTCAAGTAGTGGTTAGGTTTAAACCCAGTCCCATGTACTAAGATTTCAAATACATATAGTATCAAAAAAACCTTCATAGAACAAGTGTAACTCATTCACACTAGTTGCACATTAGCTTATACATGATCAATCATTTCGTTGTATAACCAGTTAAACCGTCAACTGATTACTGACATACTACTTATTTTACAGAGCAGCAGGTAACAATCATTATTATAGGTAAGATTTATAATCGTTTATGTGTTAAAGTATAGAGACACATAAGCATACTGATATATATAAGCCTTAAGCAAGCATAAAATGAATTGGAAGATAGAAAACACACAATATATTGTACGCATCATATCCTCGGAAGTAGATGGATTGTAAGAACACAAGAAAAAGTGGAAGAATATTATACTGAAGATAGATAGATAGACTGTAGTAGAGTGTCGATGATTCGACAATGAGATAAACTAATCAACTCACAAATTTTTACTTCTTCTTCAAAAAAAAAACTATGAAAAATCTTATCGTTAGATTAAAAAAAACAAACCACCTTACCAATTAGGTTGTACAAAAAGAAATAACTTCCTTGCAAAACATTGACAGTTTTATCATTCACAAGAAATACCATTCCATACATAAAATGAAAGAAAATTATCAACTATAACATTCATCAGATAGAGTACACACACACACACACATGCATTGTGTTGTTTATAACTCCTTAGTAGTATCAAAAACAATACATATGAAGGGGTGGGGGGGGGATGCAGAGCTGGGAAGGTTATTCAAAATTATAATGCAGTTATGATATTGAGTAGACAAAAAACAATGTGTACATTCCAATCAAGCAAAAAATATTATGATTGCTTAGTATGTTGCTGAAAAACAAACAAACACTGAACTCTATTCTCATCAACTCGGTTATTAGATATTCTCTACTTCAGTGAACATTGTTTCCATTTCCCGTCGGAGATTAGTATGATTTAACCGTTCAGCTTCTAATGTTTCTACAGACGAGAATAGATAGAAAGATAGGAAGATTTGATAAGAAAATTCAATATATTTGATTGTAAAATATAGTATAGTATCAGCAATATCGATAAATTGGGATCTCGTTATCGATTGCATATCACAATGTGGACTCCCCGGGAGTTTCATTCGTTAAGACCCTAAGAAATCTTATCACGAGTTGACTGCATTCTCTTTTTCTTCTCTCCAGCTGACAAACATACATCAAAAAAAACTCAAATGCGCTAAAACTGTATGGTGTTCTATATGGATTTGGTAATCTTTTCTATGAAGCTATAACTCATTGGCTTAAGGTCACGGGTTCGAGCGCCACCCTATCTACCGAGGTCTAAGCAGCCTAGTAGTAGAATCACTAGCCTTTATACAATAGGTGCAGCTCAAGGCTGCCTACTTTATGAATATGGACAAGGTTGTTGAGTTCATTTCAATCCGATTCAAGTCTTTTCTATCCGCTTTTTAGATGTGTTACTCACTACGAACTGGCACCACCTGGAGGACCATGATCAAGATCAAAGTGCATTCATGACATCTTTTAGTCTAGCCACCTGGAAGCTTTGTCCAGTTAGAACCTATTTCAGCCAACATCATGTCACGAGACTGGCGGTGACTAGGCATAAGTAATATATGTCCCAGCCACTTCACAACTCCACCAACTGTCTTACACCTCTCCTCCCTAAAACTCTACACATGACTTCTGCGTTACTCACGTGATGATACCACGAAAAATGGCCTATGCTACAAAGGCAGTGGTGGTTAAACACCTGAAGTCTTCTTATGCATTCTTCCTTTAATGGGTATGTTTCACAGTTGAAGAGTACACTCAACTATTAATCGATAATCAGCGCCACAGATGGCATCAGTCACTGAGCCACCACGGCTTATCAGACTCTCCAGGTAAGTGAAGTGTTTAATGAGCTCAACCATTGATAACCTGAGAGCACTGAACAGCTGCTTTGTCCAAGTATGCCACCATGACCCAGTCAGGGATCGAACTCAGGCGAATTAGTCCATATAGTGTGCATATAGTATCACAACCTAGTTACTGGGTCGGAGTCCAATTTGTCCACGATGAATATAACCTTGAAGACAATCGATACCATAGACCTTAATTGCAATCAAAGAAGAACATTCCTAGCCACATAGCTATATACAAGACGTATGAGAAGTCTCTTTATTTTGTTCTTCAAAACAAAAAAACACAAAAGACAATGATGAATGTGGTGATTGAAAGTCAACAAACAAAACGATATTTATCAACTCACCTTCTAATTTACACAATTCCACTTGTTTAATTTCTTCTTGATGACTTGCTTCTTTAACACGTCGTTCAGCCTAAATTCCCGATTCCATATGTATTGAGAAAAAGGATAAAAACTCACAAGCCATCCATGCATAACAACTAAAAACATAACTCATAAACAATATTGGCAATAGGAATAAGTGCCAAACATCTTCCAGCCGAAATCAGAGTAAAATTGGGGCTTGTAACATGCTTAAAAACTTTGAAGTACAGTTTACCTTCAAGGCGGTCAGCATCAGCTTGAAGTGTATTGACAAGTCTTTCAGATTCCTGAGCTCGATCCTCAGCCTAATATATCAATAGAAAGGATTATAGACCTCCTTCACTGAATTAACTCATTGTTGATCAACAACTATAATATAGGCATGCCAGTAATTTCATGCTTTCAAAGACATGCTTAATAACAGCATATTATAATCTTCATAGACAGAAGAGGCAGCGAAGGCGGGACTTCAAGTGAATGTAGAGAAGACAGAGGTGATGATGATACCCAACCAACAACAACAACAACAACAACAACAAGCTACAATCACCATCAACGAGAAAAACTTAAAGGAAGTAGCCTCTTTCACTATCTGGACAAGCCAGCATCGTTTCAACTACAGGCGGCACAGACGAAGAAGTCAAGGCCAAAAAGGATCGGAAAGACAGCAAGACAGGCGTCCATTAACCTGAAATCAGTGTGAAGATCTTCTGCACTCCACTCAGAATAAAGCGTGAACAACATCCGGATTTTCAACACCAATATCAGTCAAGTCACTGCTCCTATATGGTTCAGAAACTTGGTGCGTTACGAAAGGCATTCCCAACAAACTACACACATTCATCAACAACTGCCTCCTACGTTGGCTCCTTACTGAAGATCAGATGCGAAGAGGAGAAAGAATAAGCAAGGAGGAACTGTGGACTGGAAAAGAACCAACCAAGCAAGAAGCTATCACTCAACAAATATGCAGAAGAAGGAAGTGGAGATGGATTGTATTGGGCATACACTGAGAAGGGGGACTGGGGACATCATGCACCAGGTGAGGCAGTCGAGTGGAAGCCAGATGGGAAACGACGAGTTGGGTGTCTGAGGTGAGGATGACATGGAGTAGATTGTGCAAGGAAGAAATGAGAGGTTGTGGGCAGTGGTGGAGCCAGGTTGAAAAGATTTCAGAGAAGAGAGTGCATTGGAGGCGTGCTAGTGAAGCTCTATGTTCGACTAGGAACCCGAGGGACGAATAATAATAATCTTTATAATACAAGAATCAGATAAACTTTCAAGTAGGCAGGTGAATATCTCATCACAGTGAATGGATTAGTACAGTAAGACAATTGTTAGATGGATATTTACTGCTGAGAAAAGCGAATAGGTTGCTAGTGATACGACTTGGTCAACTCTCAGTTACAACTCTTCAGGCTAAAACAACAAATCTCGACACACATCACTAAAAATTTCGATATAAGTTGCCTAGTCAGTTGAGTAGAGTTTCATTAGGAACGGTGACAGAAACGTTGAAGAAGAAGACGCGAGCTCCTCAGCAATACGCTAGTAGTTTGTGTACATCTGTACGTGACAAAGCAGAAAGTTCTACACGACAGTGGGGAAAACAAAAGAAAACAATATTACGGAATATTTGTAAATATCATAGTTTAATTGGTTTTAGCTAGCAGAGAAATCCAGAAAGCGTGTTTCGTCTTACTTAGGACTCGTCAGATGGGTGTACTTTCACCTCTATGAGTGTTGTTGTTCCGACTGAGAGTTGAACCTCGTACCCATCGCTTCAAAGGGGTATCAGTTATTACAATATTCGTTGATATACTTTTAATTCTCCATTGTTGGCATACAAGTCCATATCCCAATAGAGACCGATCAATTCGATCCAGGATATTAACCAATGGTAACTTAAAAATATCCATCAAAATCATAATTCACAAATTTATAGACTATTGCCAATCCTATGCACATACATACAAACAGTTTGAGCATCTCCTCTCATGTGATTTGTGCGTTACCTATATCACCTACATCACACACCCTTCCCTAATATCATCACGATGGACATAAAAAAGCGAAATACGGTCATTCAGAGAAGTGATGAACCATATTGACTTTAAAATTTCATTATATGATATCAACACATATCATTGACTAACTGAAGGATATCTTTGTCACAAGTAACGTAAGACAAAGTGAATGGTGACTGTCCTAAGCATACAGAAATTGGCTTACTCCACTATAGCATAGAGGAAGGGTTCAGTGGACTGTCAATCGATTAGTCACGGGTTCGAATACTCAGCTTGACATACTGAGATTTGGACAGTGAGATAGTATCACCAGCCATCTCCCTCGATAAGTGTACTTGCTTATCAACTGTATGAACCTATGCATAGCTTCTGAATGACACACATACCCAAGAGGGGAAGATATCAAATTCAGATAATGAACAAGATACAGGAGATTGAAATTCCTGAATTGAACATTGAATCAATTAGTGTTAGGTGTGTTTGCTTCTTGTCTCCAAGTGATAACTATCCTGTACTCACATTTATAATAATTGAGGTCAATGTTAGCTGGTAGTGTATAAGAAATTTATATAGTTGATTGGTTCATCACGTGAGCATTGAACATTCATTCATTATTGTTTTAAATGAGATGAAATACCGCTAAATCTACAATTATAATACAACTGAAGAAACTGTCAGTGATAAGTTTAAAATAAACAAATAAGTAAGTACCTCAATCAATTGTTTTGATAACGAAGCAAGCTGAGACTGGTGTAGACTACGTTGTTTACATATCTATACATATTGTTTTGTTTATTATCCATAAGCCATTTGGTACATGCAATTTTATTCCCAGTAGACGATAAAAAGTGAAGCATGCCAAAAAATAAAACAAAAGGAGAGTAGAAAACTTTGATCAATGTTACAACGTTACTCTATATAAGAATGATAAATTTTCTCATAACAAAAAAAGAAGAAGAACAGTAGTTCTATAGACTGCAGCATGCTGTCCAGGCTGTGGTTTTTAAATGAATTAAGCATGCAGCTTACAGCCTTTAATCGTTCAGTTAAATCACGGATATTTTCTTCGTAGGCTTCCTCTCGTTGAGCTGCCTAGAATGAAATATATCACAAAAGTTGAAAATGAACAAAAATCCCATATGGGAAAAGTTTATTAGTTGAAGGCAACTTGATTGATGTGCCTTTTTTTTTATCCGAGTTCACGTATCTAGGTGATGGATGATTCACAGTCATAATAAATATGCATCAGGATGAAGTAGTATATGCAAATGATAGGCAGGTATGTTAGAAGATTATTACTGTAAAATATCTGACTGCTTCTCGATCGTCAGTGGAACGGGAGCAACATTAATCATTGGGGTGAAGGTAAATATCAAAAAGTACGGAAAGCGTGTCCTCGATTCCACCGGACGGATTCCACCAAGAAGACTATAACATTTGACTATCAGTTTAAAAGTCTGAAACGATGTGGTAACACTTAAAAAAATACTTATGGTTAAAATACTGTAAACTCTTATGTATAGCAATTTATGATGTTCTGTAGATGTTTCGTGTTGGGTACGAGAAATCCAACCAACGATAAGAAATTCTGATAGGCTTACACTTTAGTGACAGGAAATCTTGAAGTCGACCAATCAGGTGAATGCTAAATATTCAAGGTCATTCGTTACATCCGTTGACGATGTTACTGACGCTGCATAAACTTCAATGAATTATGACAGAGATTATGTTGTGGATTACTTACAGAAAGTTGGATTGTTTGTGAGAAGTCTCAATTGTACTTAACCATACGAAAAAGATAGTTTCACCTTTCGCTACCTCAGCTACTACAAGAAGAAATCTTTAAAAACAGGATCATGTTTCAAAGGATCTCATCTAACTCGTCTACAAATAATAATCTTAGTACTACCTTCGTGAAGTTTATTCAGCGCTGTCGAGATATCTGCTGCGAAATATTATACAGGTTGGATGTGAAGCTTGATGGAGTAGGCAATATGGTGAAAATAGATGAATGTCCTATTCAGAAACATAAGTACAACCAAAGAAAATGATTTAAACAGGACTGGATAAGTTACATACATGTGTCATTCTTGGTGTATACAACAGAAATACGAAGCAAGGACACTTTCAGTGGATAGAAGAATTTATCCTACCAATTAGAGGAAAATGGGCAGCATCGGCTTCCACAACATACATACATGCTTAGAAGTCGTATATGCCGTCATATGCAATAGGTTACCCAAATCACGCTATTGTTTTCAAAACGTACCTCGGTAATCCAAAAACTGAAGGGCATAGAAACAACTTTGAAAATATGTGTAGTTGTATTAGAAAGTTCTTAAAACCTTTGGCAAGATCACGCGAGGATATGGTCTCATATGGATGCGTGGCAATACAGACAGTGATATACTTTCAATGATGATGAATCTATCGAAAACGTATTTATTTTTCATGTCAAACAGATTTATAAATTGTAGATAAAGTACCGTTTTCCTGAATAATTACTTTATCCTCCATATACTTGATTCTGATTAGCTGGTGCATACTTGAACGTGATTGGTTGTCACTACAGTTTAATTCCGGTAATTTATGTGCTTGTGGCTAGCAGAGGAATCCAGTGGGAACATCACTCACTGTGGTACAGGTACATCCAGCCGACGAGTCCCAAATAGAACGTAACATGAGTCCTGGATTCCTCTGCTAGCCACAACCAAGTAAATTACCATAACTAACATTCAGGCAATATCGAGGCATCAGCATAGGAGCCTATATGCCAATAGAGGTCGAACAACTCGATCCAGTAAAACAAACGAGAATTACAAGTACATCAATAGACAGTTTAATTCCACTGAAATTCCTTCCTGAAAATACCATGTCCCTAAGTCGTTTTCTCTCACAAATGAGTTCAACAAACGGTTAGTCTTTGAACATCCAAGGTAGATGTGTAGTTTACCAGTCTATGCAGTAGAATTTCAGTCGCTCGGGGTTGTGAGTTCAAACCCCAGCACTACCTACAGTGAGTGTAGTGGATTTCAAGGTCCACAGAAACAGAAACACTGAAAATGAAACATAAACATGACGAAAGACAATCTATTGTATCCGTCTACGCCTAGAGTTTTCCAAATCACTCACACATTTGAACAGGACGATCACCTGAAGATTCTGGTGGACTGAGACATAACATTAACAACATTAGTGTACAGCTGGAGGAAAAACGATCGGTTTTAAAAACAGCAACATTTTATACGCTCTATCGGATAAAAGTGGTCAGTTCATCACGATCCTAGATAAGGCAATCGGTATCATCAATTATATGTGGGTTGACAACAATACAAGTTTGTCATACGTCAGTTGTTTGTTCACCTCTCACCAAGGATGTTTTACTCCACTGAATTTGTTGAACCTTATTAAAGCTCTCTGACTTGACTCACGCAACCGTGTTAGGGTTCTTGGAAAGTTGTCCTCTGAGTTGACAACCAGTAGTGTCAATCAGGAATGCTCGCTGTCACAGTTCCCGTTTAACTTTGTTATAGACATACTAAGGGAAATAACTTTAGAGACTGACTTACTCCCACAAGAGCAACTAAGGGAAAACACTGAGAAAATGCACAATCTTCTGAAAGATCTTGCGTAGAAATCTGAGTGCGTTTAGCATATGTTATGCACTTGTCCAGTGTAAGATAATGTATCAAGACTGATTTGAAGCCTCAAAAAAGTTCACACAACACCCACATGCGAGTCCGTGCACTAGGCGATGAGCTAGCTACACACCCATTGTGCGAAGACTAGCTGGCAAGTGGGGCAGGGCTCAAACCCGTAATTCATCAGTCAGTAGTCGTCCAGAGCCCAAAGTAATGAACCAAGGACACCCAGAGACCAGTGATTTCAATCTCGCTTCGGTCCAGATTTAAATTTCCCTAGTATCAGGTATTGTATACCTCCTACGCAGTACCACGATTTTTTATCAGCCTCATTCAACGGCTATATGCCATGTGATGCTAGATGCCAAGTGATTTACAATGGAAAGCTCAGTGACGCCTGTGAAGTGAAGACAGGAGTAAGACAAGGCTGCCTACTACCACTGATCATCATCCTGATTGTGGTCGACTGAACTGGATCATGCAAGAAAGTGTGACGAGCGAGATGGGCATATGCTAGCTGGACCGATGAAAATAGCCTAGAAGATTTGGATTTTGCCAATGATGATTTATGTCTAATGTCGCATAAACTCGAAGATGTACAGGCGACAACTAAAAAGTTGGCAGAAGTGGCAGGGCATAGAAGACGCGATTTCTTTCAGATGGACGTAGAGAAGATAGAGGTGATAAAAATACTCAACCAGCAACAACAAGCATCAATCACCATTAAGAGGAGAAATCGAAAGGAAGTTGTCTCTTTCACCTACCTAGGAAGCATCGTTTCAACTGCAGGGGACACAGATGAGGATGTGGAAGCCGGGATAGGAAAGACAGCAAGACAGGCCTTCATTAAACTGAAATCAGTATGGAGACCTACTGCACTCAGCATAAAAAACAAGATCCGGATTTTCAACACTAAGTCAGTCCTTCTATGTTATGGTTGAGACTTGGGGCGTTACGAAAAACATTTGCAACAAACTACAGACATTCATCAACAGCTGCTCACTCGATACTGAAGATCAGATCAGGAGGCCAGAAAGAATAAGCAAGGAGGAAGTGTGACCTGACAATGAACCAGTCAACGAAGCAAGAAGCTATCACTCAACAAATATGCAGAAGAAAGTGGAGGTGGATTGGATTGAGCACAGACTGAGAAGACGGTTTGTGGACATCACGGAGTCAGGCCAGGCCGTTGAGTGGAAGGCAAATGGGAAAAGAAGAGTTAGTTGGGCATTGGAGCGTTATATAGAGGAGATCATATGAAGAAGAAATGAAGAGTTATGGGCAGTGGTGGAGCTATGTTTGGAAGACTGTAGAGAAGGGAGTGAGATGACTGTGTGCTACTGAATCCCTATGTTCTACTAGGAAACCAAGAGACAAATAGTAATAAATACCTCCTAACAAAAAAACCCCAGGCCGTTCAGTTTCATACCACTACTCAGGCTATAATGATTATGAGTTAACTTTAGCAATATATAAAAGTATGGATAGATACCTCTTGTTCGGAAATCTCCAAAGATTTCACATTATTACCAACAATGCGCAACTCCTCCTCGAGCTCCGTAATTTTGCTATAAACAGATTATAATTGATTAGCTGGAAAATGTTTGATTTTTTTTTCTCTTTTTTACAAGCACATACCATAAAGAAAAATAAATAAATAAATTGTAGAGGTTGAGACAGTCATGAAATGTGCATAAAAATAATACAGATAGACATGCAAACTTCTCTATATACTTAAATCACATGCAGAAATATGCAGAGGGCATAGGTAGACTTTATTCAATACCTAAGTTAATTTTCTAAGTACAACATTCAATTAAGAGAAATAGAAGAATTTTATACATCTTAATTTGTAAAACTTAATCTACAAACCTGAGACTCTTGATGCTCCAAAGATTTTAACTGACCCATAGTACCATGAATAATTGATTGTAACTCCTTCAAACGACTAATTGAATGCGGATAAACATTGTGTAAGGCGTCAGACCATACATAATCCATTGCATTCCAACAACGCCAAAGAACATGCATATACATATATATAATTCATGCCAGTGAGAAGATTACCATGCACAAACAATTAAAAACAAAACAAAACAAAAAATCGATAAATAATATTTGTAGGTGTTGGTTGGACGCAGCCTAAATAAAAATCAACATTCGAAGTCATGTAGAAGTTTTCGATTCTAACCTTGTTTTATGTCAGTGCGTAGGCGGGAAAAATCCTATTGGTCGATTTCGTCTTAAAGTTAACCAATCAGAATAAGTTTTCAACTTTTAACCTACTAGCCTTATTTTGAGGAAAAACTGTATATAAATTATATACTATTTTTTGTTAGGTAAAGTCTCTTCTTTGCAGTCACAGACTGATATTTGTCTTCTGATTTTTTGCAGCTCAGTGAAGTATCAAATCTGAGAGAGAATAGTCAGTTCAAGGGTCTCATTGCGTTGATAACGTTCTGTCAATCATTTTAGGCAAGATACTTTGGAGCAGTTTCTTTTATTTAAAAAAAATAGGAGAAGAGATATTTAACTGTAGAAGACGATTTTGTCGAATAGTCTTAGCAAGTAACTACTAGTATCTTTACTGAATGTACTTCAACGATTATGTCATCTTGATATTTTTCTATACGATACACAGTATACATGCAGCAACACGGTGAAATAACAACTAAAGTTAACAATCCATATGCACAAAATAAGATAATGAGACTGTACAAACTGCAATAGCATAATGCATTGAATGCGTCTTTATAGGTTAGATCACTACGACAAAGCTTTACATACATTTCACACACCCATACATACATTAACCGACTACTGATGGAGAGCAATGAATCAGTGTTAAATATGATGATGATGATGATTACTATTACTAATGTTCAGATGAACACCAACATGAAAACCTTGACTTTTACAATATACAACATGCGTATCAGCACCACCACGACCATGGTCACATCTATCAAGTCCTACGTGAGAGAACACCTCGATGATGGTAATCAGTAGATCAAGTGCAGATTCAGTGTGGTGTTGTTGTTTCGTTTTCTGATAACAAACAGCTATACAAACACACACCATGTTAAAACACATCATGAGACTAAACTAGACACTACTATACAGTATATACGGTATAATATTCAGTGTGATTATCACCATTTTCCACCAGTAAATCTCTAACAAGTACCTTTCTGCAGCTTCAATCCGATCTTCAGCGTGAGATAGTGCGACCTCAGCAACGGCAAGTTTTCGAGTGGCCTGTGAATGACAGCCGAACACAGTTCAAGCAAACAATTAAACAGCAACAACAAAAAAGGAAGAAGAAGACAGCAATAGATGCATGACAATCAGTATTATAAATTGAGGTTTGGCGGCAGAAAAAAGAATAAATGTTGATTTTTGCATTCCTACACATGCTTACCAAAACAAGCAATGAAGAAAAAAAAGACACCAATAGAACTTGTAAGAACACAAGTGCATTATGAATAAATAGCATGCTGGTATACATAAGTAAACATTACAGCGTATAAAGCTGATTGTAGAAGTAAGGAATCACTACCTTTCGGCAGCTTCCAGCCGAGACTCAGCCCGTTCCAGTTCGACTTCCGTGATGGCCAGCTTACGAGCTGCCTATAAGAAGTTAGGTAGGTTTATATGCATAGTAGAATTTAATCTATTTTTTTATATAAAATTAAACATTAACATATTATCTCCGCAAAGTAACAAACAAGATGCAGTATTTCAATCATTCAAGTATAAATGCCTAACCTTATCCAATGCTAAAAACAATAATTAGGCTAATAAATAGAGATTCACTGCTCTAAAAAGCAAATGAAGCGTATCCAAAGGTGTTTGCACTAAGAGAAACGCTTCAATCTATATGGAAAACACTTGATAATGTGTTAACATTTGTCGAGAGCATAAGAGTGTTATTAGACAGGCAAATATCCATATATATATATATATATAAACACTTCATTGGTGACCTTTATCATCATCTTTGTTCACTTCTTCTACCCACTTGTTCTTTGCATGCAACAATTCAAACCGATGCAATCCACTCAGTAACCTTGTTCACATTTGTGCAAGTGAAGCCGGCCTCGAACGCATAACCCATCTCCCTGAAACAATGAATCACAACTCCACTTCGGTACCTTGACTATCGATTACATCCTAACCAAGAGACAATAAGCATTAGTTACCTATCTTAATCTCTGAGTATTTTTGTAATTAGACTGCTAAGGTCTGCTTATATCTGTCTAACTAAATAAAATGTATACATTGGAAAATCCAATTATTTTTTCTTCTTTAAATAATCATAAAATTAAAATCCCTTAGAAGTAACCACATATGCATGTTTGTATAACAGGTAGTAATAAGCTAAGCGCCTATTAATGATATTTACTACCTGGCAACATGAAACTCGATAGATGAAGTAGACTTTCAACCGATAATCTATCCAGTTTTGAAATCTACTATCATGCAAAAGATAACATGCAGTGGTTGATATTGAAATATACAGTGAACTTAATCGATTCTATCTATATCAAGAACTTTCATTATAAATGATCGATGATATTCAGTATGATTATCCATTTGTAAGTTAATATATTTTATTACACCAAATTCATCCATTATATTGCATGCAAGTATACATACATACAACACATTCATTTGTATGTTTAACTAACTTTCATTATGTATACACATTAGAGTATAAATAAGCATGCAGAATACAATCATTCATTAAAGTACAATTTGAATGCACTTGTTTACAAATCCACCACCTCATCATATTTTCGATCTGCATCTTCAGCCATAAAGGTGGATTCTTTCAACTGTTCTTCTAACTGATTGATACGTTCTTCATCAGCGATAGTACGATTCTCCAATACTTTACGACCTCTATATATACATGAAATATATATACACACAAAAAATTTCAACTTTTTTTTTACTTTTAGAAAAAAGGTGATTAAACTTTGCCGCCCCCCTCCCCCACCACCACTTTTCTCTCCCTCTCTCTCTCTCTCTCTAAAATTCAACTTTATAATTAAAGTGAAAATGTAATTACAAAAAAAAGAGGCCAATTTGAGTAATGTATACATTAAAATATGGTGTATTTCAACTAATGGAATACCTCCTCATATTTTGATTCAGCATCATTGACAGATTTTGTTGTTTCGCGTACCATTGATTCCAATTGTAGAATTCGCTCGTCTTCTGCAGTCTGACGGGCTTCAAGCACTCGACGAGCACTAAGAGTATGTTGTATAGCATTAATGATAAAATATAATCAAGCAAAACAGAGTCATAAAATATTTTTTTTTTCTTTCAAAGTTGAAATGTATACAAGTTTTTGTTTCTTTTGTGTATAACCTATATAGATAGATAGATAGATAGAGTTAACTCTTTGTAGAGTTTGCACATCATAAACTTGTAATAAGAGTTCAATGAGCAATCTTTTCCATCTTCATCCAGTATACAGCAATCAGCAATACACCTATTGTGTTTGAACGCTAATGATCCTGTTGCCTGGCTACACCAATCGCAGTAGATGCAGCGGCGTTATAATCCACGATCCATTGGTTGAAAACCAACTCCCTAAACTAATGGCCCCACATTGCGAGCTATTCAAACCTTATTAATAATAGTAACGATAGATAATGGCTAGCAGTGGAATCTAGGATGCACATTTCGTCCTATTTCGGACTCGTCAGTTGGATGTACTTGCCTCCTAGAGAGTGATATTGTTCCCACCGGCATTCGATTCGCGTTTCGTATCTGTCAAATGTAAGATGATGCTCCAGGACTCGTTCACAACTGCTCCGATTTTCAGGATAGGAAATGAACTAGTAGAATATGTCGACCGTTTTACTTACTTTAGAAGTTGCATCAACTCGAATGAGCTGGTAGCTCACGAAATCTCAGATCCAATACACAAGGCCCGTTTGGCATTTGCCAACTTGCGTCAAATGTGGCACCGGGTAGATATCCAACGACCTATCAAAGGAAGTGTGTATCGACCCGTAATCCGTTCTGTCCTGTTATAAGGCTGTGAGATGTGGCCACTGAAAGTAGAAGACATGAAGCGGTTACAAGGTTTCGATTATAGGCGTCTTCGTAGCATTGCTCGTGTTTGGTGGAATCACCGTGTGCCTTATGTTGAGGTCAGGAGAACAGTACTAGGCAAACTAGGCAATTCGACTGATGAGGTGGTGAACTTTAGTCAACTCATATGACTTGGATATGTACTGCAAATGCTGAGCCACAGCCTATATCGATGTGCCATGCCAGGGTAAACTGGATTCGGGTTCAGAGTGGCCAAAACAAAACGTGGTATCACTCGATGAAGTGCCCGACTCTTGGTCTGAGCTATGTGAGGAGACGTAGACTACCTGGATGAAGTCATCGAGACGATAGAAGTCAGTGGTTGAGAAAATCGGTTGGAGTGGCGCAGATGTATCCTCTAAAGTTTTGAATATTCGCACTAATCTGTCATCAAATTGTTCATTCTCTCATACACCTTTTCCTAGTTTGATGTCAGTCTTTTACCATATAGTTGTTGTTTGCATCTTACTGAGAAGTGTGAAAACTTGAGGTGAACTTGTATGCAAGGTTCTACGTTGACTCTGTTTGTCTGACTTTGTAATTAAGTTATACGTCACATTTATTGTATAGTTGTTGATAAACACTATTCGATTGTTCATATTAGAGTACGCGAAATGGGAAACGACCACTTGAGCAGGCAAGTTAAGGAAATCTGTTATCATTCAAACATGATACCAATATGGTGTGCTCTGAAAAGCAATTTAAGGAACCTTCAAGATGACTTTCAGCAGAAAACAATGTAACGTTAAGTTAATCTTGATATTTACAAAGTGGTTGTATAAACTAGACTCTTAGAAAACTAGACTCCTGGCAACTGAAGTATTTTTTTTTAGAAACTATACCCTCAGAATATAAATCTCAGCAGAAGTGTTGAATAGCTCACTTCTTTATACTCAATAATACATGAAAATTAAGTAAACGGAACTATATGATCGTCGTTTACAGAATAAAGTATACAAATAATATGTCAACATAGGCATAAAAAGTATCACAACAAGTCTGGTACATACTGAAATTTCTACTAATAAGACGTATGAATTCAGACTGCTATGCAAGGATAGGCAATGTATACACAGCGTAAAACATCAACACCACGACTTAGAGTAAGTGGACCTAGGGATAAATTCAACTATACGGACGACACAGGGAAATCCAGACTACCTAGATGGGGGTCTCCGAGACGATAGGAAGCAATGGTTGAGGACTTTTGATGGAATAGATAAAAGTCGGCCACAGTTGTGCAGAATTATTCACTTCTTGAGATCTTCTAAAGACTGAATATTTGCACTATTCTTTATCTTCAAATTCTTTACTCTATCACACAACCTTGTGTACTTTGATATCACTTGTTTTCTATCCACTTATTCTTTGTTATACTCTTGTAAAGTGTGGTGACATAAACCCATGAACTTGTATGTGAGATTCTACGTTGACTTTGTCTGATCAATGTAATATCTGGAACATACATCAGTTTCACATGATACACTTTAGAATTACATAACAAGAAAAGGTGGATACAAAACGAATAACATAAAAGTGGAACTGAAAACATTCGTTTCCCAATACAATTTTATAACAAGCAATGAATGTGTGAATTCACAGATTTCAGTAGTACTCATCAGTTGAATACTTCACGTACTTGATTACATATACCAGTAAACAATGCAAAAGAACACATGCATATATATATATATATATATATATATATATATATATATATATATATATATATATATATATATATATAACGTAGACTGATACATAGACTTATGTGTAACAACAGAAGTGAACAGATAGGACGAGATGCGCGTCCTAGATTCACCTGCTAGCCACAACCAACCAAATTATCATAATTAACATTCAGGCGCAATATCGTGTCATCCACACAGGAGCCTATATACCAATAGAGGTCGAACAATTCGATCCAACAAAACAAACAACTGAGAATAACAAGTATGTCAATAAATAGTAATGGAAGTGAACAGCTTTTATGAGTCGAATGGTAATACAAAGGGTAGAAATGGATATTCAAAATTGAATGGATTGGGGATAGGTTACATGGTTAATTGAGTTTCGATTAATAGGGGATTTCAGGTAGGAAAATAATGATAATAACAATAATAATATTGACACAGGGGTGAGAACTGAAACGATTGAGCATCGATCACGTCATTGAAAACAAGACAGTTAATAGTACTTAGTGCAAACATAATAAGAAAACCAGGTGTATATTGAGATGATTAGTAACGATAACATTGGTAATAGGAATAAGGTTAATTAGATGAAACAAATCAAGGAAGGAAAACAAAATATCAGATGAATGATAACTAAGAGAGAAGAGCAAATAAGAAGGATTGAATATGGTTAGACGATGTTGTAATTCCTATCATGGCAGATTCAAGCTGACTATCATTTTCTTCTGAATGCATAGGTTTGGTTTGACAACTGGGATGGTGCAAGCGTCTGCATATCCAAGCAACTTCTTATTCTGCTGTCTACTGATTACCATAAAGTACTCATAAGTATCAATATCATGTCCATAATCCATTAGGTGTTTCGTTATCAACCTCCTCGAGGTCTTCTTGTCGGCATGCTTCAACCATTTGGGTAGGTCCTCAACCATTCGATAAACAGACGCTTCTACGTACGACCAGTGTATTTGCTTCCGCAGGTACATTCAAATTGATATATGCATTTAGGTGTGTCGAGGATCGCAGCTCTGTCTTTCCCTGATTGCTGCTGTACCCTTTCGGTGGTGCTGAGGAGAACGAGATTAGCAGTGTAATAAGTCCTTCTGATAGACTTCTCCAGTCTTCGTCTAAATACTTCTAGCACATCGTTACCTTTAAATGGTAAGGTGATCTACACTGATTTCCTCTGCACTGTTTGGACGTTGTTCTGCTTCCTACGTAAAATGGGTATCACCTTACCATTCAAAGGTGACAACGTTCTAAAAGTATTTAGACGAAGACTGTCGTCAGCTGTACACAAATAGAATATCATTAAATGCATACATTCAGCTACAGAGGAGTCAGAAGAAACTTTCAAATCTCGTAAACTTGAACCCTTATTTTTCATACTGACTGGTTTCACTGTCTTGTCTCTAAGTGTAGCACGTTGGGAGGTGTCATTATTTCAAAACATTTTGATCAACATAATCGATTATATCAATAAAGTTAGAATTTCTCGCATAGATACTGTCATGCAGTCATTCAACGACGGTGTTCAGAGCTCAAGCCATATTGAAATAACCGGCAGGTATTTCTTAGTTAATTGGAACCATCATGTGAATTGATATCACCAGGTAATGGTTCCAGTTGCCACACTTTATATCAGTACATTAAGGTAAAAGGCATTACGATGAAAGCTAAAGAGATGAGGCAGGGAAGTAATCATAAATAGCAGAAAGCCGTAAAGAAAGTGGGAAGAAGAATAAAAAGTAACAAAATTCGAAGTGACAATTAAGATTAAAACAGTGTGGATGCATCTGAGCCACTGAAATCGATTCCTAACCACATCACCTGCAGCCTCTAACATTCGGCTCCGAGTACCATATAGACCCTAACCTGAAAGTTGACATTTCTCTACACAGATTAACAGTGAGATATTTCATGGACTGATGCCATATTTTAATCTGATCATTGGAACTCCAGTTAGCAGAACAGCAGCATCAGTGAATAGGATAGAAATAACTGCTGTACAATAAAATCACCAAGAGATATTTGTTCCCAATCTATATGAAAAGAGTAAGGTCTACGGCAGCCATAATCAGATAGTGAAGATAAACGAAATGTTGGTGAAGTCAGTCAGAGGAACTTCAATTCTAAGAGAGTTGTGAAGGCAGTTGAACACTACCTAACTGCTCGCATGGTGGAAAGCCATTCTTTGTTAAGTCTTCTGAGAAAAATTACACTAGAGATAGTGATGCGTGACTGTAGAGCTCAAGGGACATATGTATGAGGCCAAACACACGACATTTTTAGAATTATGAGATTCACCCTTGATAGTATTGAATCCAGTTAGTTTTTAGGCTCGACCTTTTCTACCCCTCCTAACACTTTCCATAAGGAAGATAGAAACCACTATGGACTGCTGTTCATCTGTTGGAAATACCTCACTATCATTACACTGTCTAGCCAACAGTAGGGCTTCACCCTCGCACCCACATCATAGCGAAAGCTACTTACACTGATGGTCACAATGGTGCAGATGTATTTATTCTTCGATGTTCTAAAGAGCTTCAATATTTTGACTAACCTTAGTTCTTAAATCTCCTCTCCCTCCATTCACCTTTGTATGCTTTGGTATCAGTCTTCGCTATCCACTTGTTTTTTGTATACTATTGTGAAGTATGGAAACGTGAACGAACACATTTGTGTAAGAGGTTCTACGTTAGTTTTGTCTGTCTCTGTCTAACCCAGACCTTGCTGGCACATTAGGAACCAAAAGAGTGTTGTGCTATGTTGCTACCAGCAAGGTTCGTTGGGTCGTGATATGAGAGATCAATCATCATATATCAAGGTAGTAGCAAATGGTCGAGGTGAGGACGAAGTACAACCATGAAAGAAATGTAAAAAAGAAATGAGCATATTGTTTGGTTCTTACTGGCAGGTTTTAGGGACTTAGAATATGGGCTCCGGGATAAGACAGCTCGAAAACTTATTACACTAATTCCTATGATTAAAAACACAAACCTTTCGGAACCAGTGTTAGGATACATATCTAGGAAGCATACAGGCACTTAAGAATAGCCGGATATGAATGAACACCATATGGTCATGCACAAAAGACTTTAGATCTCCCTTTAAGGGTTTATATAAACAACATAGAGGTGATATGGATCCGTAAGATGACGTATTTACGTCCATTCCACAGCTGACAGCGTCTTATGTCATGAAGTTAAATGGATGAAACGTATTATCTACTGTACTTACACCTTAGGCAATATGAACCACTAAATATTTATATAGGTTTCTAAATCACATTAAACAACTACGTTATAATCTCTCAGCTTTTCTAAGAAAACAATATAAAAGACTGTTATATTACTAGCGCAGCCACGGTAACTTAAGAATTCCTTAGACAGCAAAATTCTATTATTCCACCATCTGATCTATGACTATCATTTATCATGAGCAATGATAAGAAATAATTGACCACAAGCATATTCTTACTCCTTTCTATGACACTAGCGAGTATATCAAATGGAAATTGGTGCAACAACCTTCGATACAAACAGAGTAGTAATTTTCTAATGAGCTCCTCTCTTAGTGTGTTGCCGAAACCTTCCCAAAACAGACAGTATGAGACCATGCAAAGAATGTCGAAATCTACCAATGCAATTATCAGTACCTTAAACTTGCGGTAGTGGGATAAATAAATGATGAAACGTTAACTAGGTGAAGAACAACAGTGGAGTAAACCAAGCGAAATTGAAACTAATAGACACCTGATAATAAGAATTTCGCAGAAAACACATATACGGTATTTAAAGAGATTAACTGGCACAACTGACAGCTACCCACCGTGATGTTTTAAAAAAGACCAACGCTACGTCATATAAACTGTGAAGGCTGCACTGTAGTGCAACCAATTATTTCACCGTGAGCAACTTATTCAATCCCAAGATCGAAAAATTAGACAAGTTGACAGCATTACTAAGTCTTTGTAGCAAATCAAAGATGCTAATTAGCCAACAAAAGTCAGTCAGCTAGTATTGAAAAGTACTTGAAGAATATTTTACGGAAGTAGCAAACCAAATACGAAAAGATAGACGTGCTATAATCACACAAAAAACATGGAGACATCTGAGTTAAAACCCAAAGTTAATCAGGACACTACTAAAAACAAACTGACTAACCGGTCACTTTCATCAGCTGCTTTGCTAGCCTCTTCCAGCTTTACGGTGGCTTCCCCAAGACGTGTCTCAGTAGATTCCAATTCGTCCTCAAGCTGCCGAATACGCTTTTGCAATGCGGATACTTCTGTTTCTGCCTGAAAAGTAATAAAGATGGTACAATATTTCGTACAAAGCGAATATATATATACAGAGCCCTAGGAAATATATACCTTGGATTTAGTTTCCTCTTCCTTCCTCAGTAAGGATTGTTTACTTGATACTTCTTGTCTGAGTTGGTCAATTTGAAGCTTCATTCCCTGCATCTTAGACTTCACGGCTCCAATTACTGGACTAGACATCTTTAAACTACTACAAACAACGTATTTCAGCCGATGACAAAAAATCACAAAACAAACCAAATTGAGCGGTTAAAAAACGTGTTAATAAAGCATCCTCACCTTTCGTAAGGAAACTTTGACAACATTTTGCAATTCAACACCAATGATTGCCATTTTAATAAGGGTTCCTGAATTAAGATAAGCAGCTGATAGAGCTTCTTCCAGTGCAGTGTCAAAATCAACAATCTTCGAAGTACGTCTTCGTACTATGTATTCATCTTCATCATCATCGCTTCTGCTCCCATAGTCAGAAAACAAGTTTTCGGTCCATTGGTCATACAGCACATTCCTTTGCTCTGAACTCTTATCTAATGTGGCTTGATCCTCCCCTTCGGGTTCTAATCTTGGACCTAATAAGGCCAGTTGATCGGTCCCAGATTCAGGTTCATTAGAACGTTGACAGTCATGGTTACGAAACCTCCAGTTGTGCAATAGAAAAGTGGGGTATGCATTTTTAAATCTTGATTCCTCGTTCGCCCTCGAAGTAGTCCTTCTCCTTCTCAGCCTTTTCTGCGTTTGTCGGATAATTCCGCGTACTTGACTCCTTGCATTTGACAACTGCTTCATTCTTACAGGAGATTCTAAAGATGAACTGTCATCGGAAGTATCAAGATTGAGTTCTGAGGCCTTTCTCATGGCGTTTTCTGCATGCTTTTGATTGCTCTACATTTGTGAGACATGTAGGGAAAGTGATAACATCAATAGTACCATAGGCTTCCCAACATCAGTATTTGTATATTTTCAGTAAATCGGCCTAAAAATAGACTTAAAGAGTGTTTCAGGCAGCTATTTTCAGAATCTGTCTCCAAAGCATGCTTAATATTGCCACGGAGCATAACTGTGTATAGACCTACTCAGTTTTCTAAATGATGTGTAAGCTCTAAACATACGTTTCGATGAAGAGGGAAACCATCGACAGGAGACTAAACCAAAATCCAAAATGTCATTCTCGTGATACTATGACTAGTTTCCACCCTAAGTGCAAGAATAATGATGACAAAAAGTACTTCAGACTCCAGTATAGTTAATCCATTGAAAAATTTTTAACGTGAGAAGTTTTCGCCTTATTCCATATCAAAATGACCGTTCCGGCCTGCCGAAGTCTCTGTTCAGCCTTGACAACATGTATTTGCAGCAAAAATTCCTACTAATGGAAAATAAGTCTCTTGTGATACATCTGGTCAGACCACTTACACACCTAGACAGCTCACTATATGTGCCAAGTACCGAACCACTTACCAAGGCACTACCGTTGTGGTGGGGTGTGGTGATATAAAATGTATTAACAGCAAATGTGGGCCCGTGAGGCAAAAGAATAGAATATAGCCTTCCAGAACATTTCACTCGGTGGCCTTCCAACTGCCTATCTCTATTTATTAGGTCATAGCTTTCACTCCCATCCCACTACCACTAGCATATCAGGATGATCCCAAAAGGAAAGCTTGCCGTTTAATTAAGGACAGTATCTGAGGAAAGAGGTTTCACAACCAGAACTCATCCTTCGCGGCGAACCCCAACACAAGAACATCACACCCTGTCACTACACGCTCCCTGAATATTGACATGTTTTACCTCGCCCCGGTTCTTCTAGGAAATAAACATAAAGGAGCCCATACAATCGCATCTCTTATCTCTGAAGTTAACGGTTCCGCAACCATATAACCTGCGGAATTTACAACTTTCAATTGGTCACTACCACCACTCGCCAGGCAGACAGCTGCGTGGTAGGCCTAGCTGTCTTGATCAACTGCTATAGCTAGGATTGCCATATCTGCAGCCCTATTCATCTCACTCGATCATGCATCTTGGACCTGTGGGAAGCTTTTGGCATACTCCTGAGTCGAGCGGCTGACAACTTGCTTTAACTGTCATGGTTTTTCTATTTTTTAATTGACCGACGCACTTTCCCTTGCTTTTTCTCCTGTCTGATCATCGAACCGAGTAACAGCAATGTTTTGGCCAAGTCTCGCCCCCAAAACACCTCAACTGAAGCCTCGCCTGAGATGTTGGCCACCCCTGGGAGTGGAGGCAGGAGGCGCAGAGCCATATGAAAGGACCACGGGTCGACCTCAGAAGGAAAGCGGAGAATACCGATTCCCGGGAAAAGCCGGATCCTTGTTCTACACGACTGTCAGAACCCACCTGCCGCCGTTCAGCGAAGGGCACGTCATACCGCCACAAGTACCCAAGGACCTGCCCTGCCTGTAAAGGCCACCAAAAGGAAACAGCAAAGAACGAAAAGAAAGTCTGTTGCCATGATGACGATTGTCCCGTGTTTTACTGTGGCCAAAATGGGTGCGGCTTTTTAGTGTAACATTTATGACGGGTGGGTACAGTGTCAGTGTGATAAGGGCGTGCCATACCAACGCTGCACCTGTACGATGCTCCACCTAAGCACGTGGTTCTAGCAGATCTTCACATAGTGCTACATAAAGCCGCTCATACACACGGGTTCACCTAAGAAGGTTGTAAAAGACGCCCCATCGGCTACCTAATTGACGGTTCCCATAGAAACCGCAACCAGAAGTGGCGATCTAAAAACAAGTGTTAGTGACTCTCCATGGCTAGTTGCGCCTGTGAACAGTTCAAAAGCGACAAAACGACGACAGGTCCTGAGGCCAACCACAACACTCAAAACTTTAGGTCGCCCTGGCGTCAACTTCTGCTGTACACGGGATAAAATGGGTTACAGTGGGAAAGAGGGTATGAAATTTCCATAAAAACCCACCCATAGCACATGATAACAGGCATTTTGGTTGTGGGTGGAACCTGAGCGTTCCTGTTTGTCATGACAGTCCTCTTGAGAGAAAGGAATCTTCAGACAAACAGCAATGGAGACGGTATGATGTGCGCCAAGACTAGGTGGCCCAGAAGCAAAACTACCCCGGCTCTAAGAAAACAGCCATTCTACTCAAGGAAGGCCACAGCCTATGGGGGCTACTGTGAACTCAATTATGGAGGCCTCAAGATTCCCCCTACTGTCACGCAAGCACTGGTCATCAACCTGTCGTCCAGCATTAGGGCTAGATCAAGTCGAGCATGGTCGACGAGACAGATATCCCGGGAAGCGCCCCGCACGTCAAAACCAACTACTATGGTTATCCACGGCGTCCCAGACCTAACAGCCGGCATGGCGATAGCGAAGCGTACTCACAGTGTCTGACAACGGCGGTGGGGGTTGACAAGGATAGGATTAAAGGGAATAGCAACGGCGGCCGTCTGCGAACTCCCATGTTCCCCTACATCTGGCGACAGTGGCATCGACCAGGTTGTTGGCTATTAACTCCAGGTGCTCGCATCCCCCCAACCAGAATGGTGGAAAGTTGGCATGCAGTTACAGACAACATTAATGGGAACGTTCGTTGTTGAGAAAGCGCACCATCATAAAGGCCAGGCTGCGTAAGGACATTGGCTATGACGCTCTCCGGTGGTCAGGTGGAAAAGCGTCCAGACTGCACTGCTTTCTTACTGGTGACAACCTGGTAGCAGAATGCATTCAGGCTCAAACTCCCCTCGGCTGCTCCAATCACGTTGTGGTGGTACTCGATCTGGCACTCAGTGAACCACTACTATGAGAGAAATCTCGTCTTTGTCTTCACTACAGCAAGGCAAACGACACGGTGATGAAACGGCTTCCGTCAACAACACCATGGCCCCAGGAGTGGAGTACTCTGTCGATTGACCAGCGCCTCGAATTATTAAGAGACATTGCTGGGAGGGCTCTTTGAAGACGTCTCAGCAGTCCCAAGAATATCAAAGAAGCGAACCTCACGGCTGAAACGAAGCAGTGAAGGCCCTCTGAGAGCCAAAAGGAGAGAGTGGCATATGTGGAGGATTTTCAGAAAAGAGTCAAATCGTAGAGCATATATGGCCGTAAGAAATCGATGCAACGTCAAACCGGGGGAGGCTAGGGAAATTTTATAGACAAACCTTGCTCAGAAGCTTGTGGGAAACCTTGAAGACCCACTTCGATCCATGGCAGGAGGAAGTTTGCTGGCCAGAGAGCCCGCCTTGTGGGAGGCCGGGGCGGGGAGGATCCTTGTCGAGTAGGAGTTACCGAAACCTTCAGTGCCACCTTCGACGCACAGACAACCACCCCGCCACCCGACCAAAACCACCAACTGCCTGATCAACCTTCAGCACCACTTGATGCGGAAAATCACCGGTATGCAGCGGCATCCGGTCGTCTGCGTTGAAACAATGTGCTGGCGCCTTATGCCGTCCACTCCGCTGTATGTTTCGACACTGCTTAGACAAGCACATGCCACCACGAGGGTGAAAATTTGCCATACTGCCTCCAATCTTCAGAGGGGGAGACAAGTGGACCCGAAATGCTGTCAATCTATGACGCTTCTGCCGTTGCTGTCGAAAGTAATCGAGAGCCCAGTAGATGGCTATGTTAGAGGGTGCTTGGACTGGAGGGAAGCAGTAAGTGATGCCCGACAGGACTTTTGAAAGGGTGGGTGCTGCGTCTTAGACCTTCCGGCAGCGGAAGGTGACTGAATGGCATGTTGGGACCTCCAAGTCACTGCTCAAGTGGTGTTACCGTATTTTACCGAGGCTCCGGCGTGGTCCCACACAGCATTCTCATTCACAAAATACCAAGGTCGGGCGTCAAGCGTCAAGTGCCCTCCTGGCCGTAGGACCATTGAGAGAATTTTGAACAAGGATGGACGGGGTCTGCTTGGCTTGGGAGACATCACCGTCTGGCGTTTCAAAAACGGCGATTCCGGGTCTGCTGTCATCAGTTCTTCTTGCAAATGGCCTTCCGCTGAGTCTCAGCTCCTCGATTCTACCCCGAGCTGATGATGCCAAGTAATGAAGATCCGTGACGTCTGAAGCAGAATCAAGCGCGCTGCGGAAAGGGCTCAGATTGCTTGCAGAGTGGGCGAATGACAACTGGCTCACACTTATCCAAGGCAAACGACGGACAAGGTTTCTTTACACCCCTAACTTCCAGTGTATCCCACTCTCGCTCTCTCTCTGTGGTACGCAACTTTTTCATGCCACCACAGAGAAAGACCTGGGGCTAGCATTGAACTAGATGCCCGCTCCATATATCCAGGAGATGCTCCAAGAGCCTATACAGCACTCCACTTCATGCCCAGATAGCTAGGTGCCCCCACTCTGAGACCCTTCTTAATGCTGTACAAGGCCTATGTACGACCTCACCAAAAGGTCATTACACCACCCCACCTGAAAACGGATATGAACCTCCCGGGGAAGGTTCGGGGGCCAGCAAAATAGGGTGATGTACTAATGCGGCAGGAAACTTTGGGGAAGGTCTGAAAGACCTAGGCCCTTACCCTCTTAGCTATCGTTTGGTCGTATGGCGGCTTGATGCTGGCCTGAAAAATGCTGAGTAACACAAGTTATCTGAGCAGTGGAACTCAAATGAACAGCTATTGTGGCAATCCTAGTGGTAACCCAAAGAGAATCACCAATCAAGATGCGAAAATTCAGTCACGCTCATGCATTTTCTCTCCGAGAGTTTGAGAGGATGTGAATGCATTGGCAGCTGAGACCGCTACTGCCCCACCCGCTCACAGTTTCAAAAGAAGGTTAGATAGCTACGCAATGACTCAGTCTGCGTTCTTTCAGCTGGTATACAAACCAGGCCGATGAAGGACAGTCAACCCCATACCAGATCTTTTGTACCGCCA